TTAATCAAGGATTTCATTATAAATCTAGAAAGAAACACATGTAGAATAAATTCAATAAGAAATATCATTTCACATTATTCATTAATCAAGGATTTCATTATAAACCCAGAAAGAAACACATACAAAGTAAATTCAATAAGACACATAATTTCAAATTATTCATTAATTAAGAATTTCATTACAAACCCAAAAAGAAACAGATATTCATTTATAATGAATACAAACATACATTTACTGTAATAAATAATCTTTATCGTGTAAATAAATCATACACTCCTCTTTCAATGATATTATAAAATAATACAATATTAAATATGATATTTCTTATTGATTATGCATTGACGAGAACTCACCACGGAGGACTGTGGGGCTGATGGCGAGGAAATGAACGCAGGCCGCGCCGGTGCCTTGACCCATCAACGTGACGTTGTCCGGGTCACCGCCGAATAGCGCGATATTTTCTTTGACCCATTGGAGTACAGCGATCTGATCCATCAGCCCGTAATTCGCGACCCTGGGCTTGATCTGGGGCGCCACTTTGGCGTTCAGGAACCCGAGCACACCCAGCCGGTAGTTCATCGTGACGATCACCTGATCCGTATAGCTGGCCAACACGCTGCCGTCGTATGGGTTTCCGCTACCCCAATCGTAACTTTCTCCATGGATGTAAAGCAACACCGGATGCCTCCTGCCGTTATCCACCATGCCTGCACAGAGAAAGGCAAGAAATTCAGAAACTTCCTTTGGCGATGTACGAACACGATCCTAAAATTAATTTGCCGGTGAAGTCTGCGATTTTATTCGGACGACGATATCGTTTTTTATATCTCGACGGAAATTCTGTGAATTATTAGAAATTGTGTTTAGTAAAACGTCGAATTTTCAAAGCCCGTCGTTCGTCAATCTTATCGCGTCGTCTCGTTTGGGTGGTTCAAGAAAGGGTGAGCTCGCGAAGCGTGGGTGGGGGCGGCATTGTTCCCGCCGAAGTCTGTCTACGATTTACGGTCGCTACGCATACAAGGAGAATTAACCTTGCGACAGAGAACTGCGGATAGACGACGAAATGCTCCTCCAGATATGACGGCTGTCTAATACTCCTTCCTCTATTGTCGCCCTGTTCTCTGACAATCGAATGACACGTGTCGATTCGTACCGAGAGACGTGGAATATAATGAGAGAACGCGTTCAACAGCTTTTGATTACAGTTTCCATTCCAGAGGCTCGTTCCGAAATTCATATATTAAACCCGTAGTTCTCGTCGTTTTGCATAAAATAATAAGGTACATTGATGATAATATAAGGCAGCAGAGAATGCAATTATCTTTTAACGTCACTCGTTAAGGAATAATTGACGATGAACAAAATAATTAATCGATTACTCCTGAAGCATTCCACATAGAGGAAAATTGTATACAAGCTTTCTTGTATGTAATAGCAGTATCTACAACTATTATTTAAAGTATTTT